CAGCTTTCCCCACCTCTCCTTCCCACTCCCCAGGGATAAAGAACCCCCCAAAGCAGGGCTGCGAGGCTGGCCAGGGTGCCCGTGGGCAGAGAAGACACTCCACGGAGAACTCACGGCTGTGGGGAACGGAGGCCTGAATGCCTCAACCCCAGGTCCTCCACCAGCCTCAAAGCAAATCATCTTTTAATTCCGAAACACCAAATATTTAATTTATGCTTTACCTCAAATGTCAAGTCCACCTCCCAGCACATAGCTTTGAAACCACGTAAGGAGGTCTAACACTTTCCATATGGTGAAGACATGGGGCCTTTTAATTGTGCCAACTGGTATCATTCAAGGGTAATTCCCCTGGAATCCAGCACTCGGGCAGCAGCTGGGCCAGCCTCCAATCTCATCACCCAGCACACTAAGTCCACGCGGGCCCCAACTGAGCCTGCACCTTTCTAATCTTCCCCAAATATCAAAATGCGCTGGGTGCCCCCTAATCAAATTACCAAACCGCCTGGCAGCCGCCTTTGATCCAGAGGCAGGCTTGCCTGGCTGCGGCCTCCAGCCTATTTCTTCGTGCAGCTCTGCTATAAAAGAACAAAAGGGCCAAGCTGGGGGGTGGGGAGGGGACTGTTTTAAATGCGGTTTTACACGTTCATATGTGCACATGTGGGTACATGCCGCCTGAGTATGCACACAGGCACGCACGTTCTGCTTCTCCAAGCGTTTTCCTATTCAACATCTCTCGGTCCACTATGCTACTCAATCCATCCATCAGGCTTTTTTGTTTCACCCATTATATTTTCCATACCCCGTATTTTCAACTAGTTTCCTTTTGTAACTGCCTGTTGCTGCTTCATTGTGTCCAAGATCCTCCTGTATTGAACTGAGATTATTAGGTTTATTTTAATTTCTAATTCTGTTTAGCATTAATTGTTTTCTGGCATATAAACTGTTCCATTCATTGCCTTTCATATTGCTGCTGTTGTCATTACAAAAAAAAAAAAACCCACTGCCATCGAGACAATTCCAACTCATAGTAGGGTTTCCAAGAAGCACCTGGTGGATTTGAACTGCCGACCTTTTGGTTAGCAGCTGAACTCTTAACCACTACGACACCAGGGTTTCCGTTGCCATTAGGTGGCGTCAAGGCAATTGAAACTCATAGCAACTCCATGTGACAGAGTAGAACTGCCCCACAGAGTTTTCTAGGCTGTAATCTTTATGGGAGCAGATCACCAGGTCTTTCTCCTACGGAGCGGCTTGGTGGGTTCAAACCACCAACCTTTTGGTTAGCAGCCGAGCACTTAACCAGTGCACCACCAGGGCTTCTTTTGTCTTTCAAAGTACTCACATTTCTCATTATTTTTCTCCTAGGAGCTCATATTCCCTTGGAGTGCACTGTGTCCACATGGAAAGAGAAGAAGCCCAGGCTAAGGCTTCTACCTCTCCTGCTTACAGCCCTCCCCAACCCGCCTCTACCAGCCTCTCAGTGAACCTTCCAGCACCACTCTTCCCGGGTTTTATTCTTTTTGAAGCGTCACCTGGCATAATTCTGCCACGGATGAGAATAGTATTACACCCATTTTACAGATAAGGTAATTAAGGCATGCAAAGGTAAAATGGCTGTAGAGGTGACACAGCTCTTACGGCAGAGCCTGACCTCACTTATTTTTGCAGGCAGGAGGCCAGGCTTGGTTTACTGCCTGCGTGCTGACCACTTACCAAGCTCTCCAGACCCCATCAGGGAGGAAGAAGGCAAGCAGGGGCCCCTGCTGATTTATCTGCCCCACAGCCAGCTCACCTCAAAGTGCTCACAGCTGGTCCACTTACCACTTCTTGGGAATTACTGAACAGGGCACCCTCTAGGCATAAGGCTTTGCCACACGATTTCCTTTTTCCTGGAAAGTGCTCCAAAGAGGGAGAAAAACGCAGTCCACACCAGCTGGCTGGCAACTTTAGAGGGTTATGGGGAGGATTAAGATCACGTACGCAACATGTACGTATAGACACTTAATAAACAGCAGTCAGAATTGACTCGACGGCAATGAGTTTGGTTTCTTTATCACTACAATTGGTGGTTCAGCTGTAGAATTCTTGCCTTCCACGCAGAAGACCTGGGTTTGATTCCTGCCCAGTGTACCTCATGCACAGCTGCCACCCATCTGTCCGCTGAGGCTTGAGCGTTGCTATGATGCTGAACAGGTTTCAGCGGCGCTTCCAGACTAAGACAGACTAGGAAGAAAGGCCTGGCCATCTACCACCAAAAATCAGCCAATAAAAACCCTGTGGACCACAATAGTCCCATCTGCAACCAATATGCGGATGTCACAGGATCAGGCAGTGTTTCGTTCCGTAGTGCATGGGGTCACCACGAGTCGGGGCCAACTCGACGTCAGTTAACAACAACAATCATTGCAATAATAGTAACACAAGTTGGATATGCCTCTGAAGTATCCCCAGCTACTTTGGTGGAAGGCTCAATAAAAAAATGGAGACAGAAGCCATCCGCAAGACAGATGTAGGGCTTGTTGGGGACCTCTGCCAGCCCCTGGAACCCAGCAGACTTTGGAGGCCACGCCCTCCTACATACTGATGATCCGAGAGAAGAACCACCAGCAACCCTTTCCGTGCTGGGAGGAATCAAGGAAATTCAGCCAGACTGAAGGGTGCCCACTGCTGGCCTGTTCAGTGTCTTAGTGTTTCCCAAACTTTGGGCACTCTGCTCCCACCTTCACAATTTTGACCACCTGTACTACTGCCAATTTACTATTATTCTCTGAATCAACTTTAAATTGACTGTCTCTTTCAACTTCGATTTATCCTAAGCAATAATACCCGTGAAATCATGGGTTTGATGTCCTAGTTATTTTTTTCTGGCAAAAGACATGCCGAACTGTTAGGACTAAAAATACCCCTCCAGGTAGCACATGAAATGGCCTCGCAGGTCCCAGCAGTGCGGCAAGGCGCCCTAGGAGAGGCCATTATGTTTCCGCTCACCCTGACCACCTCCTAGAGGGGACACGGGGCCAGCCCTGCCAACCCCACCTCTGTGAACTCAGTAACTGGGCCATCTTGGGCCAGGGCTGACGAAAACCCAGGCATCTGGGTCCCATCACCAAGGACACCCTCTAGAAGGCACAGCCTGCGTCCCCCACCCCACATCTTTGATGTCTGGGCCCGCCCTCCAGCCGCCTGACAAATGTCACGCCGATGGCTCTATGCCTCACATCTTCAAAAGTGCTTTGAACAAACATTAATGACCCCTCAGTGTTTCCCTGAGAGTGGGGGAGGGAGGGGGCGGGCAAGCACCATCCTATGCCGTCCTCAGCTGGGGGAAACCAGGCAACAAAATTCCGTGACTTCACCAAAGCCACAGACTTAAGCAGAGGCCCCCTGCCCCACCCTCCCCTTCCCCCAATGGCAACTTTTACTGGCTGACATTCCTCTTGCTGAGAACACTACTATTTAATTAAAAACGATGGACTTTGTTTTCCTCTCCTTCCTTCCTCCTCCCTCCCATCCTCCCGGACTGGATGCCAAGGAGACCCACCAAAAACATGCGGGTAACATTTGTTAAGGCTTTGAAGATAAAAGTCAATTGAAGTAAGCCCTCGCTGTATTTCAAGTTTCCCCTCTAGCATGGAGCAGGCTGCCTGGCAGTTCGGGAAAGGAAAAAAGAAAAGAAAAAAAAGGGGGGCTGCAAATAAATGTCATTCTGCAAGAATACTCTGTAAAAATAACCAGGCTGAAGAAAACCGAAACTTGATGAATGGGAATCCACACAGCTGACCTCCATCTTGAGCTGCAAATGCATTTGTTCATACAGCTAAATCGGATCATTTTCACTGGGCTTTAAATACAGTAGATTAACAACAAGAAATGGTGGAGGGAGGAGAAGTTTGTAGTACTGTTTTTAAAGGACCCCAACTGCTGCACCCCCATCCAGGACAGCAGCTCCAATTCCAACCCAACCAACCGATGGACAGAATTGTAGAAGAGAAAGGCCCCATGGATCAGTGGCGGTGGAGAAAGAGGTGGGAGCTGACTGCACACATGTACCAGAATCAGCTTTATCCACAGGCCCACCTCCCAGTACTGGCCCCTGCAGCTGAGCTGCACTCTGCCCAAGTTCCACTGTCCAAACATATACCCACATCTGAAGTCTCCACCCAACCCCTCCTGAGCTCATGGACAAGACCAAAGAACCAACCAGACCTGAGACTCAGTCCGTTCCCCCTCGAAGTCAAAATTAAGTGTCACATCAAAAAGTTGATTCATCCTTTGATCCTTGGCTTGCACGAGTTCCACGCAGACCACCCTGGCAGAGTTCCAGAGCTCAGAGGACATCTGTGAACACCAGTCCCAGGCCAGAAGTTGGGGCTGAACTGGCTCCCCTGTCACACCTACTCCACCCCCATCGGAAAAACTCAGGGACCCCACTGGCCAGACCCACTGAGCAAAGGCTCAGGAGGGAGCCCAAGCTATAGCAGAATGAGGCTCTCTCTATCCTTGAGAGCCAAGCAAAGGGGTCTACCAGGTCCCAGAGCCCTCCAAGTCCTGCCACCTAGATCGCAGTTTGCTCTTCTGGGGTTCCGGGGCAGATGGGACTGATGAATGCCACAGGCACCCGGGACACATTCCAGAGGCAGCCACAAGATCCTGGGGCCACCCCTGGGTACCTCCTCTCTCCCTAGCTCACCTCCAAATCCACCTTTGAATGCTGGCCACAGAAACCAAGGTAAAAGTCAGAGCAGGCTCCCAAATCCCTCCAGCACAGGACTTCCCCCATCAGCTGGACCTCCACAACCTCCTCCCCAAGACCTACCCCAGGCAGTCCCCAAGGCATGAGGGCACAGGGCCATGTGGTTGAGGCAGAGGGGGCGGCTGAGAAGAGTTTTGGCGCCAGAAGCTGTTCCAGGAAGGGTGCTTAAAAGTTGGGGTGGGTGGAGATGGAGACCCAACTCTGAAGCTGGGAGGGGTGGAGAGATGGGGTGGGGTAGGGATCGTACCCGGGTGCCTCTGCCGACGGTGCCCGCCGCTCGCAGCGGTCTGGGTCCCGGGCCGACGCCGGGGCAGCGCTGCCTCCCAATCCACTCCTCGATGCCTTTCCGAGCCCAGGCGGCGCTCACCGCGAAGCTGTCACCTGGGGCGGGGACGACACGCAGCCCCTGAGTCTGGCCGCCGGGCCGAAAGTTACCCGAGAGGGGAGGGAGGGGGTGGGCGCGGCAGAGGAAGGAAAGCAAAGGCATCGGGGGCCCGGAGGGGGCTCGAGAACTGGGGCAGAACCCGAGAGAAGGACGCAGGTAACCCAAAGGCGGTTCAGCGAAGCTCTAAGAGCAGAGACCCAGAAAGGAGCGCAGGGGTGGGGTGGGGGTGGAGAAGGACCCAGGGAGGAGGGGTTTGGGGGTCAGAAGAGGGAGAGCAGTGGGCGCCGAGGGCGGGGACCAAGAGAGGGGGTAGGGGTTGCGGGTCAGAAGCGGTGGACCTCGGGGACGGGGTCAGAGGGACAGAGAAGGGGGTACGGATGCTGCTCCGGGGACGAGTTTCTGGGACTGGTGGCCGCAGTTGGGGGGGGGGGTGGCCCTGGTAATAAGATCCGGACGACTGGGCCGTTGCGCCGCCGTCCGCGGGGCGTCCCGCGTCCATCCCCCGGGTCCGTGCCCAGCGCGCCCCTACCTTCCGGGCTCTCCCTGCGCTTGCACACGGCGGCTGCAGGCGCATCGCGCGCGGCGGCGGCGGCGGGAGCCGGAAAGAAAGGAGAGGGAGAGAGTTAGCGATCGCGATGGCGAGAGCGGCGGGAGCCCGGGGCCCGGCGCGCGCGGCAGGGGCACTGACCCGGCTTGGAGTGAAGTTTCCCCATGCTGGGGGCGCGGCGGCCGGGGCGCCCCTAAGCCATGCGCCCGGCCCCCGGGCCTGGCGGCGCGCCTCGCCTTGCTCTCCTCCCGGTGCAGCCTCCGAGCCGAGCGAAGCCCAAGGCAGCGCCGAGACAAGCTCCTGCCGCCGTCGCCGCGGCCCTACTGACGCCCCGGCGCGCCTACCCCCAGCCCGCCGCGGAGACCCGCGCCTCCCCGCGCGCCCATTGGCCGGGCGCGGTACATCAAAGGCGAGGCGGGCCGCGGAGGGGGCGGGCTACAGCAGTTATCACTGCTGGCGGGGCCCACAGAGCGCCCCACTGCGGGCTGCGGTGTCTGGCCGGGGCCAGGGGTCGGGGACTCGGGTAGGGAGGCTCTGGCGTTATTGGGACAGACACACCCTTGGGTCTTGCCAGGTCTAGAACATCCCCTCGCTAAAAGTGCTGTGCCTTTCCTGCGCGCCCTGTATCCTTGAAACCGGCTGGGCAGGACTCGGCGGCTCCAATGTACAGGTGGGGAAACTGAGGTCGAGAGAGGAAACAGGAGCTACTGCGCGCCTGCTACGTTGCTGCTTCCCAGTCTTCGCATGATCTGCCTTTTGCAGAAAGTGTTCACTTATTATCCTCCCAGCTCCCACCCCTACCCTATCAAGCTTTTCATTTGGAAATCTAGAGGAAGCCACTCTGGACCCACTCCATCCTCTCCGCGCGTCGGGCCAGTTGTGAGCGCAGCCCACTCCTGGTGGCGACAAGTGTCCAAAAGCCCCGAGTTGTCAGCCAGTTGCTCGGATCTCCTGGTCCCTGGGCCCGTGGGTGCCCGCTCTGGATCGGGGCATGCTGCCAGCTGCGCAGCCCGGAAGGGGGTAACCGCTGGGTCTTTGATCTTCCTTGGTTTCCGCTCCCCGCTGCAGTTCGCCAGACCCAAGGGCTTGTTTGTTTTGTCTGGGGAGGTCTCTGCGGAGGGGAGGGCGACATCAAGGGGTTCCACCCCACCTTTGTGGTTCTCGGAGAGAATGCTTGCTCTGCTGGGGACACCGTGGGCCTGTTGTTAAGCTCACTCCTGGTCCCTGGTCCCTGGACGTAGGAAAAGAAAACTCCAACCTCAAAGTGAGGGGACCAGCTCTGCCCCTTGAAGTGAGTGCTCTCTGTGAGCTGAGCCTCAGTCTTATGATTTGTAAAATGGAGGCTCAATTCTGCCCTTTTTGCCTACCCCCAGAGCAGCACTGTCCAACAGAAATATAATGTGGGACACGTATGCCATTGTAAATATTCTAGTAGCCACATTAAAAAGAAATAAAAAGAAACAAGTGAAAATAATTTTAATAATATATTCCACCTAACCCAATATATAAGGAGCCCTGGGGGCACAGTGGTTAAAGTGCTTGCTGCTAACTGAAAGGTTAGTGGTTTGAACTCACCAGCGTCTCTGCAGAGGAAAGATGTGGCAGTCGGTTTGCATAAAGATCACAGCCTTGGAAACCCTATAGGACAGTTCTACTCTGTCCTACTCTGTCCTATAGGGTTGCTCTGAGTCAGAATCAACTCTATGGCAATAGTTTTTTTTGTTGTTGTTGTGTTGTTTTTTAATCCAATAAATACAAATTCAATTTCAACATATGGCATTTTATATTCTTTGCTTTACATGAGGTCTTTGAAATCCGGTGTGTATTTTACACTTGAGCATATCTCAGCTAGCCACATTGCGTGTTCTGAAGAGTCATATGTGGCTAAAAACCAGAACCAAACCCATGGTGATCAAGTCAATTCCAACTCATGACAACCCCACGTGTTTCCGAGTAGAACTTTGTACCGCAGGGTTTTCAATAGCTATCATCTTACAGAAGTAGATGGCCAGAACTTTCTTCCACAGCACCACTGGGTGGATTCAAACCAGCAACCTTTCCATTAGAAGCCAAAAGCAAACCATTTGCGCCACCTGGGAAACTCATACGTAGCTGTTGTTGTTAGTAGCTGTCAGGTCGATTCCAACTCACAGCGACTCCATGTGTGCCTGTAGTACTGCACCATGGGGTTTCCAAGGCTGTGACATTTCGGAGGCAGATCACCAGGCCTGTATTCTGAGGTGCCTCTGGGTGGCCACTGCCTACTGTATTGGACAGGACAGCTCTGGACCTTCTACGGGTCTCAAACGGAAATTGGGGATTGCAATGCCCTCCAGAGACATAAATCTCTTCATCCAGCAGTGTCTTACTTGCGTCCTCCAAACTTCCTTCTTTACACATCCTTTGTGATGAAAATCAATGCTGATGTTATAAGCAGTTACATTAATGCTGTTAGCAGGGGGGTTTCATTTGAGGAGTGCTAGGAGCATAAATGTATAGATATAAAACACACGGTTATTTTTATATTGCAGTTCTTCATCCGCTACCTGCTGTGTGCCAGTCGTTGTCCTAAGTCATGTATAGCCTTCACAACCACTCTCTGATGCAAGCTTGTACTTGTTCTGCAAAGGTGGAAGCCTCAGAGAGGTGAAGTGTCTCACCCAAGGTCACACAGCTAGTCAGTGGCCCGGTTAGGAACCAAACCCGAGTCTGTTGATTCTATTGCTCATGCTTGTTTTCACTACATCTGGCTGCCCCAACACAGGCCAGACCTGACATCCCACCATTAAAGAGGGAATCTCCATCTGTAAACAAGTATTTATTAAGCACCAACCACATGATGGGCAGAGCCCTGGTGGCGCAGTGGTTAAGTGATATGACTGCCAACCAGCCGCTCCTTGGAAACCCTATGGGGCAGTTCTACTCTGTCCCCTAGGGTCGCCCTGGGTCTGAATTGAGCCAAAGGCAACAGGTTTGGTTTTGGTTTACATGACATGTGACAGGCACTGGTTTAGGCGCTTAAGGTACATCAGTAAACAAAACAGACAAAGCTTCCCATTCTCATGGAGCTCACGCTTCACGGAGGGGAGATAGGTAAAAAGCAGTAAATGCAATGCGCAGGTAAATGGTGTGGCGGGTTAGAAACAGCACTAGCTAGAGCAGTTCTCCAGAGAGCAGATTTGCCCCCAGGGGCATTTAGCAATATCTGGAGGCTGCTTAATATCCTACAATGCACCAGAAGGCCCCCCAACAAGAAATTGTGGTTGTTGTTAGGTGCCGTCAAGTCGATTCCGACTCATAGCAACCCCACGTGACAGAGTAGAACTGCCCCGTAGGGTTTCCTAGGCTGTAATCTTTATGGGAGCAGATGGCCAGATCTTTTCTCCAGTGGAGACCCTGGATGGGTTTGGACCACCAACCTTTCTGTTAGCAGCCCAGTGCTTAACCGTTGCACCACCAACCCACCAACAAAACCCACTGCCATCGAGTCGATTCTGACTCATAGTGACCCTGTAGGACAGAGTAGAACTGCTCCATAGGGTTTCCAAGGCTGTAATCTTTATGGGAGCAGACTGCCACATCTTTCTCCACGGAACGGCTGGTAGGTTCAAACTACCGATTTTTTGCTTCGCAGCCGAGCTTTTGAACCACTGTGCCACCAGGGCTCCTATTGCATCACCAGGGCTCCTTAACAAGGCAGTATCCAGCCCAAAATGTCAATAGTACTGAAGTTGAGAAACGCAGAGATGCAGGAAAGTGACAAAGTAGAACAGGCTAATGGCGGTCAGGAGTGGGAGGGAGGTGGGGGCTCTGAGTGTCTGAATTAGAGTAGGAGCCTTCCTGCAGAACCTCCTAAAAAGGAAATAGAATTTGGTGTGGGGGGCTGTTTGTCTCTCCCCCCGCCCCACCGGTGCCTGGGTACATCTGAATCAAAGCAAGAGCCTGAGCGTTCTTTCTCACAGCACTCAGACAGTTGGTTACTTCCTTAAACTGGTCATTGCTTTCTTCTTTCGTGAGAAAAAAAGTATCCCCTTTTCCCCTTGGGAATTTCTTTTTACAGTTCAAAAAGAGATAAAAGCAACAACTAAACCGCTGCTGTTACCAGTTTGGGTCTTAGCGGAAGTAAATCCCAAATGTCCAGCCCAGACATCAAGGCCTCCCCACTTTTGGCCTAGCCCTTCCCAGCCCCACAGGCTCTGGAATGAGATACCAGAGAGGTGGGCCTGGGGGTGAAACTTTGGGCTGTTTCGGGCTCCTCCCCAGAGGCCACCAGCACACCCTCCACCTGGGATGGCTACTCGGCCTCCGCGGGCTTCCCGCCCCACCACTCGCTGTCTTTCTGTGTGTTTTAATCATTTATCTGGCCCATTTCTTGGGCTGTATACTTGCAGTGACACGTCTTTGCCTTTGAAGATTTCCCATCCTTTGGGGGATGAGAATGGGAAATGAAGGCAAGGAAGAGATAAGAGAGAGAGATTATACCAGAAACTGGTTTCATGGGGCTGGAGATTTAGCAAGGCTGGCTGAGGTGAAATCTGTCAGACGTGGAGCTGGGAGACTTCAGGAAAAATCACTCTGGTTCGCTGCCCCCATGCTTGTCCCCAAGTTTGAGCCATCTGATCTGGCCCCTTTCAAATGCCACCTCCTAGAAGAAACCCTCCTTGACCTTCCAACCCGAACCTTACCCCGAACCTTCAGCAAAAGCCTAACCACATCCCTGGGTTAGTGTTACAGGACAGAATGAAGGGGTCAGAAGAGCTCTGCCACCCTCTGAGTGGCCAAGGCTTCTCTCTCTCTCTTTCTCGCTCTGCATGTTTGTCTCCACCTGGTACTTCCTTATTTTTTTAGTAAAAAAAACAAAACCAGCATCTGGAGGCATCTAGTGGGAAGAGGCCAGGGTTGCTGCTTAATATCCTGCAATGCACCAGACGGCTCCCTAACAAGGAATTGTTGTTGTTAGGTGCTGTTAAGTCAATGCCAACTCCTGGTGACCCTACAGGACAGAGTAGAACTGCCCCATAGGGTTTCCAAGGAGCAGCTGGTGGATTAGAACTGCCAACCTATTGGTTAGCAGCTGAACTTTTAACCACTGTGCCACCGGGGCTCCTATTTTTTTTATGGTGGAGCTAAATTTCCCTTCTAGACTCTTTGAGAGCTCTTTGAGGCCAGGGATCTTGCTGAACACAACTCTGCTCGCAGTCCCAAACCCAGAACGGCCCATAGTAGGCTCTCTACGTGCAATGAGAGGACCCCACCTTGCCTCATGTCAGCCCAAGTGTGTTGGGGTCAATAAAAGGCTCCCAAAAATATCATCTGGGATATAGTAAAGAAAAAACTAATTTTAGAGTCTCCGATGAATCCTGGGAGGTCCCTAGAGT